TTTCTGACAAGTACGTCATCGTGACGTCAGCTTCCTCACAGGTACGTCATCGTGACGTCAACTTTCTCACAGGTACGTCATCGTGACGTCAATTTTCTCACAGGTACGTCATCGTGACGTCAGCTTCCTCACAGGTACGTCATCGTGACGTCAGCTTCCTCACAGCAGACCAGGCGGCTATCACCATGGTGCTGCAGCAGACACCCTGTGGTGTTGGAATACATTATGTAGCAAGCGGCAGGACAGATTTGGAAGGACTGGTCACCACACACACCACACACACATATATATATATGTGTGTGTGTGTGTGTGTGTGTGTGTGTGTGTATACAGTAGAATATATAGTCTGTTGGCCTAGATCGTTTGAATGTAAACATTATTTATATGCTTTGCTGGCGTTACCTCCTAGTTACCTGCGTGTTCCACCCCGCAGACCCGCAGGACCCCCGCGAGGTGAGCCCGCGGCTGATCATCCCCGTGTACGACCGGCTGTTCTGCTGCCTGCCGGAGAGGGTGCGCAGGGTGCTGAGATGCGGGGTCAGGTACGGAGAACAGGTGAGATGCGTTCTTATGGGTGTCCATCAGTGATATACTGATAGTGATATACCCTCACGGGACCTTAGCTCAGTAACGTATAAGATAAGAAGAAGAACACGGAAGTTCGTTTGTATTCGCTAAGAAGACGGGAGTAAAACTTCAACTTCGTTTTATATAACTTCGCATCGATGGCTTCACTTCAAACTTGAGATAAATAAATGGTAGCACAATCTGGACATGGCCACATAAAAATCAGATTGGTGTGACGAGGTGCCCCAGAACGGTAATTTGTGGTCATTCGCTTAAAAGACACACCGGGCTTTGACAGTCTAATCGTAATCGTGTTTTTTTCTTATTATCATTTCAGGACGCAGACGACACAAAGGAGCACACTTCAGCAGAACTTGAGGAAGAATCCACCACGGCAAAGGAGCAGGCTAACAGTACGGCAGACGGAAAAGCTCGGCAGCAAGAAGCGACGTCTCTGTGAATACCTCAGCACGCCTTTGGGAGAAAGGTTATCGGCAATGCCAGAGACTGCACGCGCGTATCTGTATATTCAAACTGTTGATATGTCAACTCTACAATATATGCACACTGTATATCTACCTCCGGTATGAAAATAAAGTACATGGTTGTCTTTTTGATTTGAGTCTGTCATCATTCCTTCATGACAGCGAAAAGAGTATGTCTTTAACCGCTTATAATTAGTTGGCATTGCCATGTCCATGTTGATACAACATTGGCGAATGTTTGATTAAGATACATGTAATGATTAACTGTGTGCGCAACTTCGATGTCTATGTCATAGTTATTCGATGCATATATTGTGTCCTGAACACTTCTCAATATTTAGTCATATAGACAGATGAAGTTAACGATTACAAACTTGGCTCCAGGCGATTTTTAGAAGTCTCTATTTTTACTTCGATTTGAAAAAGCCAGAAGGTACCACGCCAGAAGGTACCACGCCAGAAGGTACCACGCACAGTCTCGAGTAGGGTCGGTGTTCTGTGGACAGTGAGCCTGTGTGTCACCCTCACGTGGTTCTCCTGTGTCCCGCACAGTGAATGTTAAGTGTCTCATACCCTAATTGAGCCCTATAAGGCTGCAAATGCTTGTGTGCATATGTTGAAAAAAATAGCCTGCGTACGGACATAAACTAACCCCAGAATGGTACCCAGGGTACCCATAGCAAATAAACACGTCAACATCATAAAATGATTAACTTAATAACATGAATAACCAAATAAACCTGCTTAGTTCTAATTCTTTATTGTTTTAATCCAGATGCAGAACAGGACATATGAGAAATTCTCTGTAGAGCGATGCATTCTCTTGACATCATAACGATACTGTAATCTAGATAGAATAGAAAATGAACATCATTTTGTCGTAGAATGTAATTTGTACAACAATGATAGAGTTGAACTTAATAGCTACAGACAAATACAATCACCATTTCCATACTTCATACACCTAAGACATAAGGACAGATTTATATTCATATTTCTGATGAGTTGAGACAAACCTCTGATCATAAAACATGTCTACTCTTACATTTTTAACATCACAAAGAAGCGAGAAGTCGGGTTTCATTACTAGACTAAAGCACTATTGGCTCGAGTATGTATATCTAAAATGATATACTGCTATGAACTATCCTGCTTGTGACTTCTACCTAACCCAGTGGGTATGTAACTTAATGTATGCACAATACAGGTCTTCGTTCATCTTGACGTTGACTTTATTGAAATTGTAATGTGACCACTAGGTAGCTGACTTGAGTCCGACCATCCTCTCGCTGACGCCCCAGAGTCTGGCGGCTGCCTCGTCATCCTTGCCTGCCGCTGACGTCTCCTTGGGCACGCAGTCACTGGAATAAAACGAAGAAGAACTTCAATGCAAGACAACGGACCATTGTAGCAGGTAGCGTTACATATATGGGGGTTGAACCATTGCTGATATCCAAAACTTCCAAGAGGCCATCTAATTTTATTGTGAAGAATATTGGTGTATGTCATATAACCACCCAAGAGAAAACACACGGTCCAATATGCTAAACGTGCCAAAAGTTGGTGTCCCAAACCAAAAGCAATTTGTAACAACATCAATATTCCGGTATTGGAATTTTCGAAAGTGGCGCAAGCGAAACGCGTTCTAATCATTCTTTGGAACTATTGGAAGTCCATGTGATAACCGTTAGAACCCGGATTGCGGCCGGTGTTGAGCCAAATCCTTGAGTTGCCAGATACGTGAGAGGCCAGGTGCAGGCTAGCGGTTGGAGTTAGGATTAGGATTATAGTTGGGATCATTGTTCACGGCTAGGGTTAGAATTACGATTGGGGTTAGGTTAGGTTAGGTTTAGTCCCCCGTGGCCACATGACGACTAAATAATTATAAGACCCACCACTTGTCTCAGGTATATTGGAAACCCGAGTAGTGTCGGAGTCATGCATTTGGCAAGACACTGGATTGCGGCCTGTCCAGGTATGACATAAAATCTGATATCTCATCGCACGGCTGGAAGTCTCCTCACCTGAAGTACAGCCCGGTCGTCTTCTCCAGCTCCTCCGCCACCGCCAGGCAGATGCTGGTCTGCGCGCCCTGCTCCACGGTCTTACCTAGAAACGTTTATTGCAAATTTGTGCCCGGAGGTTAATTGCAAATTACAAAACATAAAAGAACGTTGAAACAGAGTATACTGATACTGAAGTCTACATGATGAAGGTAGCTGTCTAGAACTACAACTATGTCTAAAATTATGTCTGAAGGGTTTGACTTCTCTTCTGTAAACCATGGAAGATGTAATGTCCCACCTTTTCCCAAATTTGTGGGTTTTGGGAAGTAAAAGAAGAATATAGTTTTTTCTTTGTCTGTAAGTGTAGATAAATTGGGATAAATTGTAGAAGTTTGAATAGTCAACTCACTTCGAGCGTTATTTAATATGGAATGAACAGTTTGAAATTGTTACCGAACACGGAGAACACTCCCCCGACCAGCTTCGACAGCGCGGCGGCCACCAGTTCTCCGAACTTTTTTTGCCATTGTTCCCGCTGGAACCGCATCAGTTCTGATCCCATGATCACTCCGGGATGAAGGCAATTCGACGTGACTCCGGTGCCTGTAAACGGTATGAGGAAAGGTAGTCTTTTTTTATTGAATGAATGAATGAATGAATGAATGAATGAATGAATGAATGAATGAATGAATGAATGAATGAATGAATGAATGAATGAATGAATGAATGAATGAATGAATGAATGAATGACCTTTTTACGTTTGTACTCTTTGAAGGCAAGTACGTCAAATACTTGAATATTGACGGAAGTATTTGACGTAACTGGTCATGAATAAGGCGGAAGTAACAATATATATGTATTATCCCAACATGTAATGTTAATGACTAGAGGTGGTGACGGCATACTCAACACAGAGGACAATGCAATACTCATTTTCACATGAGTCAAGTGAGGAAAGTCGTGTGAAGTGCCTTTCCCAGGTTCACAATATCGGCCGCATGGCAGGGTTCGAACCCGGGACCCCTTGGTTCTGAGACGAGCACACTTTTTCAAGGCCGTAGTGGCAGTCGATTGCTGATCCACTGTGTCTAGCTAGGACACAGTATTGTAGGTTGTCAGTGGTCCCGTTTACCTTTCAATCTCTTCAATAGCTCCCTCGAAAACAGAACGTTAGCTAGCTTGCCTGAGATCGTACGCCTTGTGCGGACTGTAGCTATTTTGAGAGTTGATGTCGTCTAAGTCAAGACCACTGCTATATGCCTAAGAAGCCATACGACAATACACAGACTATCATCATGATTAGTTTTTCCCTCTATATCACCTTTCAATCTCTTCGCGAGCTCCCTGGAAAACAGCACGTTAGCCAGCTTGCTGCGGTCGTACGCCTTGTTCGGACTGTAGTCCTTTTCGTAGTTGATGTCGTCGAAGTCCATGCCGCTGGGGAAGGCGTGCACGAGAGATGAGACGGTGACGACCCGGCTGGGCGCGGACTGTTTGAGCTTGTCCAGGAGGAGGTTGGTGAGGAGGAAGTGGCCCAGGTGGTTCACTCCGAGCTGCATCTCAAACCCGTCCTCAGTCTCCCACCGCGGACACCCCATCACACCTGGAGGGAAGAAATCATTTATTCATTTTGTTTACTGAAGGAAAACATATTGTTTTTGCTCTGTTTCTCCTTCTTCGCATTCTCACCTACAGATGGGAAGAAATAGAAGAAGTATTATGTTTACCGAAGGAAAACATTGTTTTTGCTCAGTTTATTCCTCTTCTTCTTCTTCCGTTCCAAACAAATAGGGTCAATGACCAGGATCCGGACCAGACGTCTGTTACCATGGTAACTGGTGTTGGGTTACATAATGTTGCAAGTGCCATGCAGAACTGATCTCAAACCCGTCCTCAGTCTCCCACCGCGGACAAGCCATCACACCTGGAGATGAGGAGAAATAGAAGCAGAATTTTTTCATCATGTACTATGTTAACTTTTTTAATCACAGAAGGAAACATATTGTTTTTGCCTTTTCTTCTCCTTCTCCAAACACATAACCTTGACCAGGTGGATGTACGTCACCATGGTAGTTGGTGCTGCAGCAGACACCCTGTGGTGTTGGGTTATTACTAGTATTTAGCAAGTGACGTGACAGCTAAGTATATAGGGTTTGGTCGTCGCAGCAGGAAAACATGTTGTTTCCCATCTCGGACACCCCATCACTCCTGCAGATGAGAAGAAGAATAAGAAGAGTCGTGTTTAAAGTTTAAACTTTTTATCCAACACAAAAAATTCTCTCACCTAGAGCTTTCGACATTAAAACCGCGACGGGGGTCGACATCGTCTACCAGATACCTTTGACCCAGTGTTGACGTCACACTTCAAAGAAGCCACGTGACATTAGCTTCACTGGGTCAGTCTACTGAGGAAGACCAGAGTGACTGGTCGAAAGCTCTAGGTGAGAGAAGTTTTTTTGTGTTGGAACAAAAGTTTTAACTTTAATCATGTAACTACCAACACAGATGAACTTTCATGATAGAGGAAGAGTCGTGTTTAAAATGAAAACTTTTTATCCGACAAAAATGATGGTGAGCGCGGAGTTACTACGTCATGGGATCAGGAATGAAAGAGGCCATTTACATGAGGGCCAATGTTGACGTCACACTTCAGAGAGGCCTCACTGGCCCAGTCTAGTGAGGAAGACTATAGTGACTGGTCGAAAGGTCTATGTGAGAACCGTTCTTTATGTTGGATCAAAATTAAAGTTTTAAATTTAAACATTTGTAACCAACACAGATGAACTTTCATGATAGTATAAGTAGAGTCAGTTTATCATGTTTTCTTTCTCATATTGCTTTTGCTCAGTTTCCTACTCGTCGTCTTCTCCAAATACATAAGGTCAATGACCTGGACCAGACGGTTGTCACCATGGTGATTGGTGCTGTGTTGGATTACATTATGTAGCAAGTTGGAGGGCTGGTCACCATATATATGTATGTATTTCAGTGATTGCAATTGACCACATCGTAGATATTATTATTTTTTATTCCAACATGTAATCACCAGACGTGGTGACGACACACTCAAGGTTTATCAACTTATATTAATGCCGCCACCAACACAGGGGACAAATACATGACAGGACAATACTCATTTACACCTGAGCTGAGTGAGGAAAGTCGTGTAAAGTGCCTTTCCCAAGGGCACAAGATCGGTGGCATGTCAGGACTCTAACCCGGGACTCTAAGTTCCGAGTCGCGCCACTACGCCAAACGAGCCCACATCGTAGTTATTACAGTTATAAGACGCTTTAAAAGACAGTCAAACACCGTGTAGGTTCTTTACAACAATACATTCAAGGTGTTTGCATTATGGTAGTGCGGATGATAAAACGGAAAGTTCTCAGTGGACAATTAACTTTAGCCTGTATTCCAGAAACAAATCTCCATGTTTTTTCACGTAATTTTTATTCGATTTTCAAAGCAAAAAGAACATAAACAGACATGCATGGCACAGAATATATACTGCAATCAAAATGGATGAACACATAATTTACATAACAGAAAACTCATACACAGTACCTGCATTGTTGATGAGGACGTCCAATCGTGGCTCAGCGTCGTTGATGACCTTCGCAAACTGTCTGACTGACGTCAGAGAGGCAAGGTCAAGTTTGTGCACGGCGACGTTCTTGTTTCCCGTCTGGCTGCGGATTTCTTTAGCGGCCTCCTCCGCTTTCTCCAGACTTCTGCAGGCCAGAATCACGCGCGCACCTGGAGAACAGGGAGAGAAGTGAAGGAATGCATGGATGCATGGAAACAGCCCTTTATAACTTAATAATTAGATGCATGGACATTCCTAGGAATTGTGCTGTGGTTTCTGGAAGATGCATGATTTTGCTTTTATTTAGTACATCTATGTGTCTGCATGTATCAGTAGTAGCCTGGGTCGTTGTACACACTCACAATATGTGGCGTAACCTTACCTCTCTCCGCCATGTCTCTTGCCGTGACCTTGCCGATGCCCGTGTTCGCTCCTGTGATGATGACAGTCTTGCCGTCCAGCCTGGCCCGACTCTCGCACACCCCTCCTGCTGCCCACCGGCGTGCTGGCACGTACAGCACTGCTGCAAGGACAAACAACAGCCACCATGGCACGTACAGCATAGCTGCAAGGTCAAACAAATATCAATCAATTAATCAATCAATCAATCAATCAATCAATCAATCAATCAATCAGAACTGGTTTATTGATTAAAAAGGCGTTTCAGCCATCTGTATATTTCGTACTTTTCTGCACATTTAAAAGTGTTCACAATAGTTACAATAAAATTTTAAAATAGTCAGCATGGCACGAATGGCACAGCTGAAGGTCAAACAAAAGACAGCATGACACGTACAGCACAGCTTCAAGGTCAAACAAGGCATGGTCATCATTGCATATATCACACAGCTGCAAGGGCAAACAAGGAATACTAGTAGTCAGCATGGCACGTAACTTTACAGCATAGCTGAAGGTCAAACAAAACACAGCATGGCACGTACAGCACAGCTTTGTTTGTTTTTATTACGATCCACAGGGACCCCAGAAAGTGCGAAATGGACGAAATGGAACGAAACGAAATGTGTATGAAGGAAAGCCGTTAAGCCGTTCGTACGTTGGAACGGCGACGTCAGTGTCCGCTCGATTTATTCTTAACGCACCCTGATCAATCTTATAATGTTGCGGTTCTTAGAATACCATCAATATTAACGTTGCCGTTTGGACGTCGAGCGGACACTGACGTCGCCGTTCCAACGTACGAACGGCTTAACGGCTTTCCTTCATACACATTTCGTTCCATTTCGTCCATTTCGTTTCATTTCGCACTTTCTGTACACCGATGTGGGGACAGGATCAGTGCTTAAGCACTATTCTTCCTGGGGTCAAGCTGCAAGGTCTGACAAGAAATCAATCAATCAAATCAATCAATCAAGACTGGTTCATTGATAGAAAATCAATAGGTTATTGATCATGAGTTATGCTGTCAAAAATCCAAACGCTTCTTTTCTCGGCGATGGTACTGGTGATTATGTGTATGTCATATCATCTGAATGAAAAGAAAACCAATCTACACAAACGGGAACGACTTTATTTTGCTTTCTAATTCCTTGTGCTGCATGCAAGCAACTACAGTCTGCGCTTTTCTGTACTGTACTTTTAACCTTTACGACATTTGCATTCATTACCTTGCAGTTCTATATATGGCGTATTTACTATTGACCGTCCGGTCAATGACCCCAGCAGAGTACTACTGAACCTAGCATGCCCACGGTGAGTGGGCGTAACTTCATCTCTTTCAATGTTGATTCTGGCTTGCTTGATGTTTGCTTCAGCAAAATACGGGAATACAGTACATAGACTGGCAAGAAAGAAAGGCAATGTTTGATTTTTTCAGCCCCTTGGTTAACTTAAAGGCCTCAAGCCAGAGGTCAGCGAAAAGACCACATTTTTATTGATACAACGCAAAATCAACCAAATTTGTACAATTTAGGTGCAGATTAACAAGGAAATGAACTATATAGTAACTTAGTAGAGCCACTGCATGCATGCCCATTAGAAGGAAACACAGTTAGCAGGTTAGACTCGTTTCCAGCCTATCGTGCAGTGGTTGGGGGCGTGTTCTCTTCGGGGCTGCAGGAGCTCTTCCCCGCCCGCCACAGCTAGGTTCCCCGGTAGGTTTTTAAAGACGAGAGTTTGATCCCGTTATCATACTAGACTTTTAAAAACCGGTTGAAACCGCTAAATAATTAGCGGAGGAAAACCCGGCTAAAACCCTTAGCGTTTATACCAGACGTTTCATGACCGGTTTTGTTAAAATCCTGTCCGGTGAATATTCAATTAATCGGCCATGACTGCAGTTTGAACAAGCAATAGACATCTTCCCTCCATGAACGAGGTTGGTGTTGTTAGGGTTCTTTTTTATGTTATCGCATGTGTTCATTGTTAAAACATGACAGCTGGGTTTAAATTTAATTGGACGTTATATGGCCATGAATAATGAGGGAGTTGCTTTGTGTTGGTACAATTTTAATTTTTATCATGTAAGTACCAACCCAGATAAACTTTCAAGCGAGTTTTACAGTGGCCTCCTGTCGGCTTCACAGACTACCAGAAGTGACATGCAGACTATCACCATGAAAAATGGTATTTCCTAATAGCCTGAGAGACATTTGTTTCCCTGGTGGTAGGAGTGCAAGGAGTCAAGTTACGAATGCACAACACCCAAGCTCCCTGTCCAAACCTAACCCCACAGGTCTCAAGTCCTTATCTATGGCAGCAAATAATAAATAAGAAATGCACAGCATACCTTGCAGAATAAGCTACACTACAGATCTACAACCACCAACTATTATGGACACTAAAACACAGAAACTAAAAAAATACCACGAATCAAAGATAATCATAATCAATCATGCAGAGGTGAGGTCATTGACCTCTCAATCACAACACAAACAAACCACCCCATTAGCAAGGCCAGCAGGTCAATGACCCAAAAACCAGACCAAAGAAATATATAGCCTGTCAAACAGGAGGTAAAAATAGTTGTGTCCCAACACAGACCACACTACTATAAAATAGGGGTGATATTGTAGAAATCCTTTTAAATTAAGCAATACAAATATACAACAACCTGCTAATGCACTCTAAAACACAAAGAGACTCAACAACTACCCACATACCAAAAATTATACCAAACCATCCACCAGATTTTCCAAACATTCAACACAAAAAGACCAATGTTAAACATTTTGTAAATATCAAACGCAAACAGCTAGGAAACCCAAATTTAAACCACTAAACCATAATAATAACAACTACATGATACCTTAATATCGCACAAACAGTCCATAACGCACCAATAATAGAATAAAAAAATTAAACTGCAGTACCAAGGTCAATCACCAGGGGCTCAAAGTCAACCTACACAATCTCCAAGGCCCCATCCATCAATCTGCCAAATATCATACAGTTCCTTTTCACCGATCTTCAGATATCAGACCAAAACATGAAACGGACCAAAAACAATACCCCCATTACATGGAGGGTAATAACCGTTCCTCCCGCTCTTCCGGTTGTTGTCGCCTTCTTGTATGCCGTCTTCAGGTTACCGTCTTATGCCGTCAAATCAACTCTATCACAAGCGTAACTCATATCATTCGGCCTGTTGAGCTGGACGGGGGGAAAATATTAGATCTCCGAATACTGAAAGAAAAGACAACCTGCCCCAACCGCGATAGACTGGGCCGCGTATACACATACTTTAACGTATACCTGCCGCCGGTAACCGATAGGTGGTCATTGTACGGTGACACACCTATGAGGGCCTGCAGGGGGGGGGGTGATTACGAATGACGCAAAATTTTCGCCGCCTATTACGAATTACGAATTACGTTAAAGTCTCAGAGCTCAGGTTACGACTTTACGATTTGCGGCTAATGTCCAATTACGAATTACGTTGATTTTTGCGGAGGCTGCCTACGAATTACGAAGTCTAAAACGGCCTGATTACGCCTTACGAAAAAGGGCTTGCAGGCCCTCACCTATAAAACCTTACCTGCCGCCAAGACGGCGACTGCAGTGATCCTCAGAAGACTCGGCATGGTGAGATCTCTGTCAGTGTCAGCACACAGGCCGGTCACGATGTATATTAAGTCCCAAGAAGTTACGTTGACTCTTAAAGATCAGAGAAAAGTCAGCCCTGTCCTCGACTAGCAGCACACTAGACTAGTAATGTTTAACTTCACAATTGACCCGTGAGTAGTGTTTGCCTTGCGTCACGTGGTGTCATTGACCTAGCGGGCACTTGTCACTCGCCCAAGTGAATGTCCTATCGTACATCTTTAACTGCGTCAAGAAGCGAGAAGAAGCTGAACCTGTAAATAGTAGATCACATTAGTTTATATAGTATGTAAGTGTCATTGCTGTATTCTTTTCCCTGTTTACCCATGACCTGTACTTAGCTCGTTAGAGCACAAGCGTACAATAAAGGTCTTTCATTAACAGTGCCCAGTTTAATTCCGGAATTCCAGTTTAATTCCGGACTAATTCCCATATCTCAGCAACCTGACGTCTAGATGGGCTAATATTCTAAGATATAGGTAAAAATGATGTAAGAAATATGTTGTAGCCATCGGTGACCCCTTGGGAATTAACCCAATTCTGCAGAATTCTGGCTCTAGTTCCCAGAATTCTGCAGAATTGGGTTAATCTGCAGAATTCTGGGGACTGGAGCCAGAATTCTGCAGAATTCTGGCTCCAGTTCCCAGAATTCTGCAGAATTGGGTTAATTTCCTAGGGGTCACGATTCATTCTCCAAGCAGATCCCTATCGGTGCCAAAAAGACAGTATCAAATTGGCCAGGCAGTATCCATTAGCCAGAGAAGCTCCGCGTCCTATCCCAATTATAGGAAATTCCGAACCAACCAACCAACCAACCAACCAACCAACCAACCAACCAACCAACCAACCAACCAACCAACCAACCAACCAACCAACCAACCAAGTCGAGACGGCCAAAGGTCAACGGCCTGTAGGATGTTGACCTATTTCCTTGTGTTCAACGTGTTCCAAACAACTACTAAGCAACACAACGTACTACTGTACCGGTAGTTCCGATTTAGTCCTGTCTACTACACTTTCTACCTCAGGATTTGACGGCAGGGACACCAGTGTCCATCCAGGATCCATCTAGCATGGGGCTTCTTTCTAGAATTGGTGCGGTCTTAGTTTTAGCGGCAGGTAACGTTAAGACCATTACTAATACTGTTACCACTAGCATGACGCCCCCCTCCCCACACTACCATGTCCATCCTAAATCAAAAAATCAAGGACATTATATCGAGTTCAACGTCATCAACAACATGCAGTAACGTTAAGAAGGACCTTTATTGTACATTTGTGGCATTAACATCACTTATATAAGCTACAAGTACAGGTAATGGTGATTAAGTTCTATGTACATTTTTTTACAAGTATCTAAATAGTACATAAGTACAGGTTCAACTTCTCTCTTTTTAATAAAGTTGTACGTGTAAGAACAGATGTCAGCACATTGAGTCAGGGTGCTATTAATGTGGTGTCATATTTCTTGCTTGACCTTGCAGCTGTGCTGACTATTTTATATTATGACATTGCAGCTGTGCAGCTGTGCTGTACATGCCACGCTGGCTCTTGTTTGTCCTTGCAGCAGTGCTATTTCATGTTTGACCTTGAAGCTGTGCTGACTATTTCTTGTTTGACCTTGCAGCTATGCTGTTCCTTGTTTGACATTGTAGCAATGCTGACTGTTCCCGTGTTTGACCTTGCAGCTGTGCTAACTATTCGTTCAACATTTGACCTTGCAGCTGTCCTGATTATTCCTTGTTTGTTCTTGCAGCTGTGCTGTTCCTTGTCCCTTGTTCCTTGTTTGACCTTGCAGCAGTGCTGATTGTTCCTTGTTTGTTCTTGCAGCTGTGCTGTACGTACCAGCGCGCCGGTGGGCAGCAGGAGGGGTGTGCGAGAGTCAGGCCAGGCTGGACGGCAAGACGGTCATCATCACGGGAGCGAACACGGGCATCGGCAAGGTCACGGCCAGGGACATGGCGGAGAGAGGTAAGGTTACGCCACAGAGTGTGTACAACGACCCAGGCTACTACTGATACATGCAGACACATAGATGTACTAAAGCAAAATCATGCATCTTCCAGAAACCACAGCACAATTCCTAGGAATGTCCATGCATCTAATTATTAAGTTATAAAGGGCTGTTTCCATGCATTCCTTCACTTCTCTCCCTGTTCTCCAGGTGCGCGTGTGATTCTGGCCTGCAGAAGTCTGGAGAAAGCCGAGGAGGCCGCTAAAGAAATCCGCAGCCAGACGGGAAACAAGAACGTCGCTGTGCACAAACTTGACCTTGCCTCTCTGGCGTCAGTCAGACAGTTTGCGAAGGTCATCAACGACGCTGAGCCACGATTGGACGTCCTCATCAACAATGCAGGTTCTGTGTATGAGTTTTCTGTTAAGTAATTATGTGTTCATCCATTTTGATTGCAGAACCTGTGCCATGCATGTCTGTTTTAATATGTTCTTTTTGCTTTGAAAATCAGTAAAGTAGGGGTAGTAGTAGTAAAGTAGGAAAATTTGTATATATACTATGTCCGCGGTGGGAGACTGAGGATGGGTTTGAGATCAGTTCTGCATGGCACTTGCAACATTATGTAACCCAACACCAGTTACCATGGTGACAGACGTCTGGTCCAGATCCTGGTCATTTGACCTCATTTTTTTTGAACGGAAGAAGAAGAGGAAGAAACTGAGCAAAAACAATGTTTACTTCTTCTATTTCTTTCTCATCTGCAGGTGAGAATGCGAAGAAGGAGAAACAGAGCAAAAACAATGTTTTCTTTCAGTAAACATAATGAACAAATGATTTCTTCCCTCCAGGTGTGATGGGTTGTCCGCGGTGGGAGACGGAGGACGGGTTTGAGATGCAGCTCGGAGTGAACCACCTGGGCCACTTCCTCCTCACCAACCTCCTCCTGGACAAGCTCAAACAGTCCGCGCCCAGCCGGGTCGTCACTGTCTCATCTCTCGCGCACGCCTTCACGAACGGTATGAACTTCGACGACATCAACTACGAAAAGGACTACAATCCAGAGGAATCCTACCGCAGAAGCAAGCTGGCTAATGTGCTGTTTTCTAGGGAGCTTGCCAGGAGGCTAGAAGGTAGGTCATGCTAGCCTGGAGGCCCAGCCCTGCTAGGTTTAGACTCACGGGATATGCCACATTTGCATGTCAACATGAAATCCATTTGAAAGTTCATCTGAGTTGGTAAATTACATTATGAAGAATTTAAACTGGAGGGGGTTAGAATCTTGGATACCGAACAGGATTACTTCAAGAGAGGCATAAAAGAGGCCATATACATCAGGGCACTTGAGTTTCGCTCAACCGAGACGGGGGGCGATATCGTCTTCAGACAACCTTTGACCCTTTGCTGATGTCACACGTGGGAAAAATCACGTGTCCACAGCATTTGGGTCAGATAGCTGAGGAAGACTGAGTGATTCAGTCGAAAATTCCGGTGAGTAAAATTTATGAGTTGGAGAACAGTTTAAATTCTTCATAATGAAATCCGTTGGTACTGGAAGTTACAACAAAATCACCATGTGCAAACATCGAGGTCACAAGCAATTACACATAATATGATCATGAAAACAAGTTACAAGCAGTCAAAACAAGTTATCGTTATGTCAAGAAGGGTCTGAAGCACAAGCTGATATTCGAGGGAAATGTCAATGAACAAGCACTGTTGTTTGTAAAAAAAAACACATAATAACTGCTTTTTTAGCATCAAAAACTTGACGCACTGAAGAACATCAAGATTTTGACCTTTCCAAACCGTGCAGTCAGCGTGCAAAATACCTAGTTGCCCTGAGTTGCTCCGGGCAACCAAATTTTACTTGGGGCAACCTATTTTTGAACCTAGGTAGTCCAGTATGCTACTTGAATTTTAAGAATGCCCCCCCCCCAAATCATGCCCACTTGGCTTGCACCACTGTATCCGGCAGATGCTTTTTAATTTTAGGTATTAATGGCTATTACTAGTATTAGATAACTAAAGGCTGTTAGAAATATTGTCAAAGGCTTATGTATGTAACATTGCTTAATTTGAGTAACTTATAGGTGGGGCAACCTAAAATTCTGATGGGCAACCTAATTTTTGCCTGGTTCAAAAAAGTATTTTGTACACTGACATCAAGATTCTGACCTTTCCAAACCGTGCAGGGACTGGAGTCACCTCCAACTCCCTCCACCCGGGAGTCATCTACACAGAGCTGGTCCAGCATCGAGAGGAGCGCATACGTGGGGCCGTCGGTGAACAGCTGTCCAAGGTGGCCAGTAAGATCATGTCAGGCTTTGTTGGTGTGTTTGGAAAGACGTTGGAGGAAGGTGCCCAGACCACCATCTGTTGTGCAGTAGCCGAGGAATGGGAGAACACAACTGGGCTATACTTCAGGTAGGTCACACAAAAAAAATAATAATAATAATAATAGTAATAAACTGGTGGACGTACCAACTACTATGTACCTAATACATATATACTAGCTCAGAAAAGAACAAGGAACAGCTATGCCTTCAGGTACCAGAGTTATCAACCAAGGACTGAGGTGTTCAAAAAACTCATTCTTTCCTAAATAAGCATATTAAGCAAATCTTGTGCTTATGTATGCAAATACATTATTTTATTGTTTTAACACTATATTGTAAACACTTTTAAGTGCAATATATGTAAGGCCACACCAATTTAATTTCTTGGTTAACAGATTCGCCCACATTTTTTTCCTGATTTGCAAATAAAAATAAGAATTCAGAATCAACTGAAAAATGCTCATATTTTGCCCTGAACAGTTGAAAACAGTCCTTTTCTTCCTGGTTGTTACAGTTATTCCATCTTTCAATGCAGTGGTATCATTAAAAGTTCAAAATTCATTGTTTAGATTTTGAACCAGCCTGGTGTGTTGACTTTATGGCTCCTATCGTACCATTTTGGGCCATAATAGGATGCCTAGGCCTGTTTTTATTTTTTAATTTTTTTTCGCCCACCCGCTCCATTATTTTTCTAGAAAAATCTGTTAACCAAGAAATTGAATTGGTGTGGCCCAATGTACAGAAGGCATAACTTAGAACATGTTTGCCTCCCCTGTGCAGTGACTGCGTGCCTAAGGAGACGTCAGCAGCAGGCAAGGACGACGAGGCAGCCGCCAGACTCTGGGACGTCAGCGAGAGGATGGTCGGACTCAAGGCATGATGTCACACAGGGTCATGCCTGTAGCCAGGGGGGTTCGAAGAACACCCCCCCCCGTAAGGCTCGGATGTCCACTTTTTGGTCTACTTTTTATCTAAAGGTCCAAGATTTCTCTTTAGATGGACTGATTCGTATCATCAGCGGGCCTGGAATG